TATATATATATATATATATATATATATTTATTTAGGCACGCACATCACACACAGACACCCACACACAAATATATGTGAAAAAAAGGGCGGCGAGAAGAAACAAACCACATGTCCTTTACTCCGGCATTCGTCACATCGCTATTACCGCTGCTACTGTTGCTGAAAAGGATGCTACTGCTGGTGCTCATTCTTCCAGGAATAGTGACTGGATGGTATCGGTATACCGCTTATCAATGATGCGCCGCTTCAGCTTTCCAGCAGCTGTAAGCACCTCATTTTCAGGGGTCCACTCATCGCTGAGAAAGCGCACTTGGCGCACAACCTCAAACTTCTGCCTGTCGGCCATGCGTGCCGTTGCCTGCATAGATTCCGTGGCCTTGCGGCGGAAAACAAGGTCCTGTAATATATCTGGGTATTTGCCATCAATGCCGTGTTCCTTTGCAAAGCTCATCGCCTTGGATTCATCCGTCAACGCCAGAGCACAGATGTACGGCTTGTCCGGCTGCACAAGCACACAGACTCCATTGGGCAGGCAGAGGGCGTTGTGTGCATACATAGACTCCAACGCCTCCATGGCAATGTACTCACCCAGCACATTCTTTGCAAGTGCCTTTACACGGCCAATGATGCGTAGTGTACCGTTGGGCCCTATGCTGCCAACATCTCCCGTGTGAAACCACCCATCGGCGTCAATGGCATCGCGTGTGAGCTGCTCTTGCTTGTAGTATCCCTTGAAGANGCACAAGCACACAGACTCCATTGGGCAGGCAGAGGGCGTTGTGTGCATACATAGACTCCAACGCCTCCATGGCAATGTACTCACCCAGCACATTCTTTGCAAGTGCCTTTACACGGCTAATAATCCGTAAGCGGCCGTTTGTCGTGATGCTGCCAACATCTCCCGTGTGAAACCACCCATCGGCGTCAATGGCATCGCGTGTGAGCTGCTCTTGCTTGTAGTATCCCTTGAAGAGGAATGGGCCACGGAGCAAAATCTCACCACGCGGTTCCGGTGTGTCAGTGTGCTTGTATTCCTCCACGTCCAGAAGCCTCATCTCGCAGGTGTGCTCCTGCTGCCCCGCCACAACTGTCTCCATGTCACCGCGCAGCTGCTTTGTGCCTACGCACACCGTCTCGGTGAGGCCCCAGCCCTGCGCCATGACACCAAAGATGACGTTGAGAAACGTCTGCGTGGGGGCACTAGTAGGGCCGCCAGCGGCGAGCATGACGCGCATCCTGCCGCCGATCATCCCGTAGAAAGGGCTGAACACCACCTCGTTCCAGTACGGTGTCTCCATCCCGTTCTTCAGTGCCTGTAGGCGGCTCTGAAAAGCGTGCTCGTAGATGCGGTACTCAAGGGTACCGCGCGGCGCCAGCCTCGCCTCCACAGTCTTCTTGATAGTGTCGAAAATCCGCGGCACGCCGATGCAGAAGACGGGTTTGTACTCCGCAAAGTCGCCGTGTGGGCGGGCGAAGGTGTCGAGGAGCGTGCGGGGGCTACCGAAGCCGACCAGCGACCCACGCGCAAGGAATATGTTCACAACACCAAATTCGAAAATGTGGGCGAGTGGGAGGTATGCGCAGTATGTCTCTCCCTCCACGAAGGGGCCGATGAGATCACTCACGCGATCACTGCAGGCTAACACTCCCGACACGAGAGATCCGTGCGTATGCATTGCACCCTTTGGGTCACCTGTGGTGCCGCTGGTGTACATGACGAATGCCAGCTGATCGTTGTTAGTGGGGATGCGCAGAGGTTCATCCGAGAGGCGGCCGTTATCCACAACCTGGTACCACGAGATGATACGGTAGTTACCAGCGGTGGTCTCAGGTGGAAGATCACCAATGTAAATAATAATGGTGGGGGGCATCTTTCCCTCACGCATCATGCGCAGGAGGCTCGGTACACTTGCCCCACTGCAGATGACAGCAGTACTCTCAGTCTCCCTAAAAGCGTAACCAAGCGATGCCTCACCTAGTGTGGCGTACACCGTGCAGGCTATCATGTCCTGTGTCCAGATGCCATAAATGGTTGCGAGCCACTCCCACCGCGTCTCCTCGTAGATGGCAACGTTGGAGTGGTGTGGCACGCCAAGCTCGACGAGGCCGCGGCCAAAGCAAGTGATGTACTCCCATAATGTATCAAAGTCGAGGTAGCAGGTGTCGTTGAAGTATGCAATTTCGTACATGCGATCCAGGCCGTTCTGATCTCGGAGTACCTCCTTAGAGATACGTTGGATGGGGCGGTACGCGAAAGCCTTGCGCTTTCCCCCCGCCTCACATATCTTCTTGAACCGCTGTGGCATGTTATCGCCGTAGTACCAGTCGTGGCAAAGTTTTGCGTGACCCTCATCGTTCGCACCGATGCGGCGGTAAATGGCTGACATATTCTCCGTTTCTGTACCGGGGATCGGCTCATTTTGCGTGCCGTACTTCCAAAGCCGCTGAATGTCCTCGTGGGGCACCATGCGGCGGCGGTTCTCTTCATCCATTAAAGAGATAACGGACGTCTCTATTTGTCCCAGGGCAGTCACGGTGTTCATTGTATCTTTTTTTGTGTGGGTGATGGCTTTTTTTTTTTTTTT